ACTCACCTGCTTTGCCTTTTCGTGCCTTTTCCCCCATCCATCCATCTGCTGACTCGCTCCCGTCTGCATTGATCAACCCATCTGTGCCCCCACCCACCCTTTGTGCCACTGCTGCGCTGCTTGCTCGTCGTCCGTCACCCAGCCAGGCCACCCTTGCTGCGATTCGTGGATTGTCTGACACTGACAAGTGCCGTCTGTATGTATGCGGTCTGCGTGTGTTGTCCGGTGTGCATTGGGAATGGTTCGAATCTGCCTTTCGTCGTGCTATTCGTGTTCGGGACCAATTTCGACTATGGCGGCCACGGCTACTTGTCCGTTTGCATGTTCCTCTTATGTTGAATGATGTGTCGTGTTTCCGCCAGGCCGCGATTCATACCATACGTCACCTCCTGTCCGGTGTTGCGTCATCGTCACTGTTCCATGTGCAGGCAGCGTTCATTCCATCTGCGTGTCCATCCCTGACCACCTTGTACTATAATGCTAAGCGAATGGCGTCACAGACCCTCTCACAAGTGGTCTGTCCATGCCACCTGCCTCATTTTACGCAATGGCCACGCATCGATGGGCATGTCTGTGTGCGCCTGAGTGATCCATTCATGCGCGATGTCTTGCGCGTCCGCCTTTATGCCATGTTTTGGGCAGTGCATGCTGCGTTCGGATGCCGCTGTATCAACCAATCACTATGGGCGTACACTGCGCGTACATCACAGTCGCGATTTGCAGTGTGACTGACAAATCTGTGCGGACTGTGCGGACCAGGCACCATCCAGACAAAAAGACGTTAACAAAGTGATGGATGGATGGATGGATGGACAGGCAGACAGACAGACGGGCCAGCCGATACAGACAGCCACACACAGACGAGTATCAAGACTGGTGCACGTGATGGTGAGTGCGGCTGGCTGCCCAATGAATGGCGTGATCAATCAATGACAGACACTTCAGTCGTCGGTCGATTCATGTACAAGTGGAGGCTCTTTTGGCATGTCCACTTTGTCCTTAGCGCCGTGAGTCGTGTATGCATGTATGATATGCATCCATAGGTAGGGAGTATGTTGGATGGATATCGTCGCTTTGGTTGATGCATCGCATGCAGAGGTGCATTGCATGCGCGTGTTGTGCGCGCGGTGACGTGAAGTGACGTGATGTGGTGTGATGTGGTACACATACAGACAGACGGTCAGCTACAGACACACGTACAATACTACCCACCCTCACGCACTAACAGACCTCACATGCCATGACATCTGCCTGTCTCTATCTTCCTTCCTGTGCTTACCACGTGTGTTCGTTCGCTGACATGCCTGTGCACGTGCACGCGCTCTGTTTTTCGGTGGGGTGGCCCTCCTTGGCTGTGTGCCCACAGGGCTCACTCACTCACTGCATGTTAATTGAGTCCGATGCATCATATGATGAGGGGTAGGTAAATGACTTGGCTTTCAACCGACATACGTACGTGTCCCGCGTGCAACCTGTACAAGTCAGTCACCACCACTACCGTCCGTCTAAGCATTCGCATCACTCTCGCTACCGATCGATGATAGCCGCAGAACAGCCGCCAGCCAGCCAGATCACTCGCTGGCCCCGTGCTGTCTGTGTCCGACTCTCCTCCCTGGCCGTCTGCGGTCTTCTTGTCATGCGCGTCGCCCTCGGTGGCGTCTGCCTGGCGCTTGCTGTGCTCGTAGCAGGCCTGTGGTGCCAGCACAGGTCCATAAGCGGCCTCCTTCTTGAGCTGGGCAAGTGTTGGGCGGCTTTGGACGCGCCTTTTGGTGAGGGGGCGAGCGGCAGGGAGCTGGCCGTTGTTGTAGGCCTCGACGTCCACGTTCGGTGGCACGCCGAGGCCGAGCACCTGTGAGTGCTTTGTGAGCCGCTCCCAGAACTCCTCGCCCAGCACCTCCTTGACGAACCGCTCGTCGATGGGCAGCAGCGGCTTGATGAAATTCTTGCCCGCAGACACCGGTGTGAACAGAAGTGCGAGCACTTCGTCCAGAAGCAGCAAGTAGTAGTCCACCGGTAGGTGTCTGCCTTTCTCGGCCTCTGCTCCGCTGCGACTGCCTCAGCCACCTGCAGTCACACACAACACAACACGCATGTGTATGGACATTCATGAGGAAGTGTGTACCACCCACTGACTGACTGACCGACTGACCTTTTTTGGATCCTGGTCGCATTTAAGGACCAGCTTGATGGCTGCGTCCCACGAATATTTGACTGCTGGGGCATTGGCGAGTCCTTGGAGGATGGCGGCGAGGAGAAAGCCCACTGCGCACACGACACGACACGCACACACGACACGAGTCACCCATCTCATGGCACACCGATAGGTGTGTGTGTGTGTATGTTACTTACGTGGCTTGAGGTCAGGGTATGTGTCGCGGATGTATCTAAACACCAGGTAGGGGTCTGTCATGTCCACCTTGCCGCTGTTGGCGGGCTGGGTGGCGAGCTGCAAAGCATCCACACGCACGTACACATATGTGAATGACGTCATGTAGGTGGTGGGTGAGGTGTGGCGGTCATGTCTCACTCACTCACTCACCCTGATGTACTGGGCCACTTCATATCCGGGGAGGTAGCCCATCTCGTTGGCCATCAGGATGAATACGATGATGATGATGATTATGACCCCGTTGCAGCACCAAATTATCTGCACGATACACAACCAACACGCATCACAACACAACACACACCCATCCACAATCCACATGCGTGTCCACCTGACTCACTATGGTTCTTGATCTTCTTCTTGAGCTTCAGGTAGGCCTCGCTCGTGAGGTCCTGCAGGGCCTGGGACAGCATCTCGAACTCAGCGTACCCTCCCGCAAAGGCACACTTGATGCTGCCCCAAAGCCCTGCCAACCCGACCGTCTGACACACATACACACACATACACACACACGCACAGGCAGACCGTCATGGGTGTATACGTCCGTCTTCAGGTCAGTTGAGTGCAGCTTTTGGCGTACCAGCTGCAGATTGAAGAATTTGCTGTATTTGAATGGCCTCCGCAGCCATATGTACAGCCTCTCTCCCGTGGTGTACAGGCGGTCCTTCAGGGCCTTGGCGCCCCTGTCGCAGAACACGTACTGCACACACACACACACACACACACATGCAAACATCAGGTCGTCTGTATCCGTTGTGTTTTCTCTCCTTCGGGCGCTTACCAACGAGTTGGAGGTCCCCGTGACGAAGGAACCGAACAACGCCAAGAAGAAAGAACCGAACCATGTGTTGGTCTCGGAGTTCTTCCAATGCTTGGCGTGTTCGTCCTTCTTGAACCCAAACGAGTCGACCTGGAATACACGTACAGCAACACACACACATCCATTCACTCATTCATTCGCCCATCCATCCCCCCAGCCACTACCCCTAGAGCCACTGACCTCTGCGTAGGCCTTTGGGAAGACGGCGCACGAGCAGCCAGCGGCGTACTCCTGCACCGTAGCCCAGTGGGTCTTAGCCTTGGCAACCTCGAAGAGGTCATGGCGGACCACGCCGCCCTTCTTGTGCTTGTGGTCGCTTTTGATCTTCTCGGCCTCCAGCTGGGCTTCGGTCCTGGCCAGCTCGGCCTCAAGGTCAGCGACCCTCTTGGACAGCTCGTTTAACTCGGCCTGGTGGTCCGCCTTCTCTCGCTCAAGCCTTGCAAGGCACCGCTTGAGGTAGCGGTTCTCGCGTTAGAGGCCGTCGAGACTGGGATACGGCTGCGGCATGCCGGCCGTGATGTCCTTATTCACAATAGCAAGCAATGGAGGGAGGGGATGCGGGAATAGGGATAAGCGGGATGGCCTCAGTGCCGAGCAAAAGACCCTCAATGGGTCAAATCAGAAGCTCCAGGAGCCAGCTGGTCCTCACTGGGCGAATGCGTTGGATTGATGGAGTGCCGATTAATGCTGGCTGGCGCACGGCACTCGGGCACACACAAACCGTCGTCTGCACGATGGCGTTGTTGTGTGTACGTGTTGTTCGTCGTTTCGCGATTGCGAGCTTAAACGCTCAGGAACTGACAAACAACAAACAAACAGCAATTTTGAAACGAGTGAAGCGATCGGCTGTTTCACTTATCTTTCCTTCACGTGCTCGACTCATCTGAGTGTGCATTCATGTGCTGCTGCCTCTCCCCGCCCCTCCCTCCTTTGTGGCGCATGAGCAGTCACTCGAGAGCGTCGATGACACTCACTCACTTCAGTCAGTCACCCATCGCAGAGCGTAGGCAAAGCAGTGCAGGGCAGGCAGCAAGGCAGTGAGTGAGATGGCCAGGCAAGCAGACACCGCACCCAAGCAGCCGAGCAGTCAGCCAGGAAAACGACGAGAAAAACCATTGCAAACGGACACGGGTCAGGCAGGGTGGGTCAGACACGATGGGTCATGCCGAGAGGAAGAGGAAACTCCGCCAGAGAGGTCTTCCATGCTTCATTCGCTTCGTCGAACTTGCCTCGAGTGGGTCCATCATTGTTCTCTGCTTTCCTGGATGCAGGTGGCACGAGAACGCCGATGGCATCAGCATGAGGGCAGCCGCACCACAAGCCGACCAGCAAGAGTGCTGCGGCATGATGCCGAGGGAAATGGCGAAGATCTTTGCTGCCGAGAGGAAAGGGTGCTGAGGAAGCAAGATCTGATGAGCAACATGCCTCTCAGGACCTTCAGGGCCTCTTCGCGGCTGCGCGTTGACAAAGTGATGGGGATGATCTTGCAGATGATCTTGGTCTTGGGGGTTCGGGGATGCATCCGTGTTTTCATGCCTATGTGTGTGCCATCAGGTGAGATACATCCATCGTCTGGGCGTTTGCTCGAGCGCGAGGCATGGGGGCTTATGCCGCGGCATTGGTTCATCGTTGTGCCCATCATCATGAGCTATCTTCCGTTGGCCGCATCCGGCAAGGAGGGTTTCATCGTGATGGAGGAAGGCGAAGCGACTGGACGGCATCCTCATTCGACCACCCGCGTCCTTGGCAAAGTGCCGCAGCGGCTTATTCGATGGCGTGAAAACGCGACCGTCATCTGGACGTGAAATCGCGAGGGATGAAGTCACGTCCACAATCAGGTACACGCACAGACACTCAGGCTATACATTTGCGCGCATCTATGTTGTTGTTTCCTGTGGGTCATGCATTCACCTTCATCGTGTAGGGCGGTTTATCCACGACTGCGATGAAGGTGCCAACCCCGCTGCAGCGGGGCGTGCTGAGAAGGCCACTTTGGACGAAACAAAACGTTTGAAACAACGTGTGTGCGATTGTGTGTAGGTGAAGCGTGATGTGCTGCTGAAGGGTCTCTTGTCTGTGGGAGCAAGGTGTGCCCACACATAGACTAACATGTGTGGGCACATGTGTGAATGTGTCGTATGGTGTGTGAATGTGTCTTTATGTGAAGGTATCGAGGTGAAACACGTGGGGGTCGCATGCGTACCAGGTGAGTATGTGGGCGTGGGATGCGTGTGTGTGCATGGTCATCTGTGTGTGTAGGCGACAGTTTCTACGGCGTGCCGGTGGAGGGATGCGGGGATGCGTAAAAGGCGGAAAAGGCGGATCGATGTGTATGTCCAGCTATTGTATGTATGTGTGAGTGAGTGTGTCGTTAGGCCTTTCTAAGTTAACGGGGGGTGGCCTTGATAAGTAATCTCTCACGGTTTTGCTGGCGTGAACGGGGGAAGGGTCAGAAAGCAGGCCCATGGCCGTCTGCCTGCCTGCCGGTCTATGTGTCTGTGTGTCTGTGTGTCTGTCTGTGTGTCTGTCTGTCTGTCTGTCTGGCGACAGACAACCAGCTAAACCGACCAGTGGTTCATTTCGCCGTCTGCATATCTGTGGAAGTGTGTCTTCCTTGTTGCTTTTCCCGCTTTGTTCACGTGAGTATGCGTCCGCTTTTATGCCATGTACGTGCAGTGTACGCCATGTTTTGTATGTCCAATCACTATGGGCGTACACTGCGCGTACATCACAGTCGCGATTTGCAGTGTGACTGACAAATCACTTGACTGATCATCTCATGACGTGTCTGTGCAGAAAGACGTTTACAAAGTGATGGATGGATGGATGGGCAAGGCAGACAAGGAGGAAGACAGGCGGGCCAGCCGATACAGACAGCCACACACAGACGAGTATCAAGACTGGTGCACGTGATGGTGAGTGCGGCTGGCTGCCCAATGAGTGGTGTGATCAATCAATGCAGACACTTCAGTCGTCGGTCGGTTCATGTACAAGTGTGTTGTGTTCAACACGAGTCAGTCATGGGCAAAACCGGATGGACACAACGAATATACAGACGTACAGCTGCAAAGCGCTACTATACAACGCACTCACACTCACACACACACACACACACATACACACATACACACGCAACAGCGTCTCACTTGCTGCTCTTCCTCTGCTGCAGCATGTAGAACCGACCTATGCTGACAGGCTCCAGCGAACCAGTCATGATCCAGCCCTCAATCTGCCAGGTCACACCGCCCGGCCCCCCTCCCTCTCCAGCCCCTCCGTCGCTGTCGTCAGCTGCTGATGACATCGGTGCGGCGCTCACTTTGCCGAAATAGTACTGGTCGGCGTTCATATTGGTGCCCTGGCTCTTCATCCTCGATACCTGACAGACAGACCACCCATATCACACACACACACACACACACACACACAGAGAGAGAGAGAGAGAGAGAGAGAGCCGGTCGACCTCAGTCCCTGTGCGTGTCCATCTCCCTGGTACTCACCTTCAGCCAGACTTTGCGGTCGTCATCGGTGCCGAGTATCCTCTCATGTGACGTCAGGTGGGGCCAGCCCAACACCCAGGAGCCTCGCAGCACTTTCCTCAGGGGCGGCCTCGACCCATCAGGCGGCACATCGGTGGCCATGGGATCTGCGAGTGGGACAGCCTCGAAGGTGCCGTTGGAATGGAGCTGCATCGTGTAGAGGGCGGCGGAGGATTCCCTCGACAGCCGCTCGTCTGACCGCCTCGTTAGCGTCCACAAACCTGAAGGACAGACACACACATACTCAATGCATGCATCGCATCAATCAGTGAGTCGGTGAGTTGGTTATACCTGCCAGGCTGTCCCGGCTGATCGCGGGCCTCATTTGTTTCTCCAGCCGCCTCTTCATCCATTTCAGCCCCTCAGCTCCGCCAAATTGCTGCGACGAGAGGATCTTCTGCATCGAGAAGTCACCCACGTAAGTCGGGTCCATCGATCCCGCCGACACGTAGCCGTCCACGCGACTCGTCTTCTCCGCCCCGTCGGGGATGGGCCCCTCAAGAAGGTCAAAACCGATCTGGTTGCTCAGAGATCGGTCCACCCAGACGGACAGACGCTGACCGTCTGTGTCCCACTGCCCCGATAGCTGAGCGGCCTCGCGGCGCCGCCTTGACAGATAGCTCACGCTCTCCTCGTCTTCGCTCTCCGCCGTGGCCGCTGCGGGCCCAATAGCCGCCGACCTCAGGCCGCCGAACTGATTGAGGACCACATAAAACTCTCTGCAATCTCCCTCCACGAGTGTCCTGAGCCGCCAGGTGCCGCTCAGCAACCAATGGTCCTCTGTCGGCACGAACTGGGTGCGGGAATAAAGAGGTGGTGTCCTCATCCACCGTCTTGGAAGGGCTGGCTGGATAAAAGCTGAAAGAGCTGATGCGCGTCCATCAGGGTCTCTCAGAGCCCTCCAGCGATGCATGGTGCCGCCTGCTTCGCAGCAAATGGAGCAAACGAGGCTCGCTACGAGAGGCGCCGAAGATGACAATGACAACAACATGATCACAGATCTTGACAGATGCTGATCTTCACTGCATGGCGCTCGCTGCATGGAGCTTCCCCTGCGACGGCCGAACTGCGAGCTCAGCCAGCGGATCGGCGTGCGAAGATCTTGCCGCTTGTGCTTGGCGTCTTGTGTTGCGACGGCATCACTGCCCTGAAGGATCCGTCCATCGTTTGTTTGATCATCCCCCGACGTTGCCGTCATCATGTCGAGTGTGGAGGGCGAGGAGCGTTTTGACAGCTTCTTCATGAAGGTGGCGGAGGAGGCCCGCGGCATCGACAACCTGATGGACTACTTCTTCAGCTTCCTGGAGCGCAAGACCGACTTCTTCACCGGCGTGCAGGACAGCAAGATGGCGGAGCAGACCGTCATGAAGGCCTTCCACAAGCACCAGAAAAGGGCCATCAAGCGCAGGGAGGACGAGAAGCGTCGGCATGCCGCCGAGGACGAGGAGAGACGCAAGAAGCTCGCTGCGCAGCGCGAGAAGGACAAGGCCGAGTACGAGAAGCTGCAGGCCGAGCGCCGCAAGCAGCAGGAGGACCTGTCCAAGCGACCCAAGATCGAGGAGATCACCGAGGAAGAAGACCACCAGCAGGACCACCCGATGAAAGACCGGCAGCCGACCACCAACGGCGCCCACGCTGCCGCAGGCAAGGACCAGCCGTCGTCGTCATCTTCTGCCAGCCAGGCGGCCAACGGCACTACTGAGGACAAGGAGATCAAGGACAAGGCCGAGGAGGTGGTCATCGGCGAGGATGACGACGAGGCCGACGACGGCGCCCCCAACCCCGCCAAGTACGGCAACGGCGGCAAGACGGACCGCTACACCTGGACACAGACACTGGGCACCGTGGAGGTGCTCATCCCAGTGCCGCCCGGCACCAAGTCGTCGCAGCTGAGTGTGGTGATGACTGCCGACCGGCTCAAGGTGGGGCTCAAGGGCCAGACGCCCATCGTCGACGGCAAGCTGCACCAGAAGATCAAGCCCGACGACTGCATGTGGACCTTGGTGGACAACAAGCTGGTGCAGATCAACATCGACAAGTACGACGCCATGCGGTGGTGGAGCTGTGTGCTGG